CACAGTTAAATTACACTCTCAGAAATAAAGCTGTCACTGGGGCGGTACTTCTTCAAAAGGTACATGTTTGTACCTAATGGGTTCAGTTTGGTACCTTAAAGATACATATTAGTACTTAAAGTGTACATATTAGAACCTAATAGGCACAAAAGTGTACCTTTTGAAAAGGTACCACCCCAGTGACAGCTTTTGTACCTTAATTTCTGAGAGTGTATATTCAAGTACTTTACATGTGCTTAGTCAACACATCAAGATAAGTGTACTTCTTTAAAGCACGACAAAAGATTATTAAAACATAATGATTTGAAAAATATACTTAAAGTAAAACTTTTAATGTGACATTATTACAAAGTGCGGTTTTTAAAAGGGTATTTAAGTGTGCTACATGAAAGTATATTCTTTGTAAGTACACTTAGTGGCCCTTTTTTCATTAATGTTTTATCTGCAAGTGCAGTTTTAAAAAAATATACTTTTAAAATTTCAAGTACACCATAAGTGTGCATTCAATACAGTTAAGTGCACTTCTTTTTCACTGGAGGGTGCATAGGTACCGTTCAGGGCCGTTTTCAAAAGGGCCTTTATTTTTCCAGATAATAACCTCAGGGTTCATAGCATTATTAATTTCATAAAAGTGTGTGTGTTTGAGTATGTGCATGTGTGTTCGATCGACTTAATTAAGACAGTGTTATCAGGTGTGTGTGTGTGTGTGTGTGTGTGTGTGTGGTAATGTCCCAGAGCCGGCGTTTGATGTTGCGTTATGAACTTTGGTCAGGTTTAGTAGGTCTTGCTTGCAGTGGTATGGCGATGAACAACTGGGGTATGGCCGGGGAGGCTAGGGTATGGTATTGTATGGCATTTCATCTAATGAAGCCAGGACTGGAATTTGAATTTCGCCTTTGTTTGCTGAAAGAGTCTCAGCCATTGTCTGAATGTCTCTTTAGAAATAGTGTCTCACCTCTTACTAAGACTCTTTATCTTCAGTGGCAGGGATAGTAAGAGATGTCCTTTCTTGTTTGTCTAAAACAAGACCATGATGCCCTCTGCTGGCCATTTTTTGCATTCAGTCACTCCTGCTGAAGGTCAAGTTGTTTATTTGTAGTACTTGCTAAATTTGAAATTTGAACAAATCTGTAAGCCCAAGTATTCAGATTTGGTGCATAAATTCTCCTTCACTATTTCTAGTACAGACATGAATGATACCTCAAATTTTACGTAGCCTTGAGTGAGGAAGCTGTATCATTTCTTTTCGATGAAATCAAACAGAAAAACTGGTGAAAATCCCATAAATTTGAATTGAAGAAGTGACCCAGCCATGTCCTAAGATCAGAATATATAACGGAAACTTAGTAAGCAACCATACAGTAACGCCCACATAGTAAATTGCTAACTGCAATTTTAAAAGATGTGCAGAAAAGATTTTCACAAAACCTGTGAAGAACATGTCCAGGTCACATTTAACCCCCAAATCAAAAGAATACAAATAAAATCATTAATTATGGAGTATAAAGGAAATGAAACCTTTGCAGGACCATTACAGTCTACTGGTTAGTTCTAAAAAGTCAAAAAAGTCAAAGTCTATAGTGAGCAAATAAAATTATTTGCTTAAATTAAAATAAAATAATAGAATAAATAAATAAAATTTAATAATTAAATATACACACACACACACACACACACATATATATATATATATGAAAACACAACAAAGCCCCTATAGATATAAAATGGTTTGTGTTGTTGTTGTTTTTTTCCCTGTTTTTGAAGTCTTTTATGCTCACCAAGGCAGATTTATCTGTTTAAAAATACAGTAAAACAGTAATATTGTGAAATTTAAAAAATGTAATTAATTCCTTTGATGCAAATCTTAATTTTTAGCAGTCATTACTCCAGTCTTCAGTGTCATATGATCCTTAAGAAATCAATGCTGATTTGGTGCATTATTATTGTTGCATCCCGTATTGTTTTGGGAGGGATGTTCTCTTCATTATTATTAACAGTTGTGCTGCTTAGCATTTTTGTGCAAACCGGGATACATTATTTATCATTATTCTTTGATGAACAGAAAGTTCAAAAGAACAGCAATTATTTGAAATAGAAACGTTTGTAACATGTCTACACTTTTGATCGATTTAATGCAGTCTTTGCGGTGTATGTAAATGTTCATTTTTCTGTGGTGTCTGGATGAATACAAATCCCCCAAATTTTGAAGCACAGTCCAAGACAAAATGACAATGATGCACTTTATTATGTCATAAAATACTTTAAAACCTTCTTATAAAAAGCACAGGGACACTGAACACTTGTTTAAGGAAGAATCAAGAAGATTCTGCCAGCCTGCAGTGGCCCACGGAAGCGCTAAAAACCGGGGTCAGAGTCTAGAGTTTCCACTGATCAGGAGGTGAAGAGAGACTCCAGGACCAGAGCAATATGTGAGCTCCGACTCAATTTCCGAATCGAGACAGCTTGTTCCTGTGGTCAGTGGAGCGCAGCTGTTCTCCCTGTCTTCTCTGTCATCGGTTCACCTGACTTCATTCAAAGTCCCAAGTGAAGAAATCTGGCAATTCTATCACAGTGGCAGACCTGGAAAGCTTGCTTGAGGTCTCTTAGGCAATATGTGTTTTCCTGACAAAAAATTCTATGTTGCAATATATTGTTTATAGGCATGTCTCATCAAAATAACCTCTGAAAATAGAAATCTCTGATTTACTCAGATAGGATATATATTTATAATATATAACATTTACCTCTGTGCAGTCTTCTCAATGCCTCAAATGATGAAAGCAGCCTTAAGCAACGTGATCTCATGTTCTCCATTCAAGGATTTGTTTGATAGTTGGCTTTATACAGTGTATGCTTGTTGGACTTCACTTGTTATTATTTTCAGTTTTACAGTCAAACATATGCATTCCTCCCAAACTGCCTGCCAGAGAAGCTCTGTTCTGGAGGGTCTTTCTGAGGAGTCTCTGGGTTTCTGCCCATCTTTGTGATCTTGGTTCGTGTTGATATGAAGGACGTGGCGCCGTTGTAGGAGTACTCCCTGTCAGAGAGGAGAATGATTTCAACCCATTACAGCCATTGTTGGTATTGTTAAGTAAAACTATTAAAAACCATTTTGGTGTTTAAAGCTAAAGCTAAAATAAAATAAAAATAAGTGAAAAATTTAAACTTGGAAAACTTTAAACCTAAAAAAATGTTGCCTTGGCAACTAACAGTAAAAAATAAGTTGAAATAGTAATAAAATTATTTAAAATTAACACTGAAATAAAAACAAACAAAAGCTATACACTATTATATATATATATATATATATATATATATGTAAAAATAGGGCACATACTGTATTATTAATGTGAAGGAATTTTCCATATTTATTTTTTACAGGTGTTTTACCTGTATTTTGAATTTTGCTCTTCATTGTGTTGTGTTTTAAGGTTAATGGAAATGTCCATAAAATTACTGGATAATGTCCACATTTTAAAATATACATTTTATATATATAATGATAATACTCAAATAACACTGATTAGACAGCATATTTAAAATGTCATTTTTTTATCTTTTTTTTTTCTATTTATAATGTTTGTCAGTTTTTTATTTGTTCATTTGTTTGTTTTTTCGCCAACCTGCTCTCTGACCATTAGAATTAAAAAATATAGTTTCTGGTTTCAGTTTCTTTCCCATGCTCCCGCCAAAACGTCTGTTCTGGGAGTATGTAAGTTTGGTGAGCAGGTACGAAATGCCACGAAAAGAGCGGATTGCTTTACGGCAGCAGCAAATGCATGTTGAGCTATCCACTGTATATATATATATATATATATATATATAGTATTTTAGATTTTTTTTTTTATAATAACATTTTCTTTACAAAGAAGCGGGAAGTTATAGAATTACTATAATTATACAGTGAACTCCAAGACAGTCAAAAATGTTACATTTATTATATTTATTTATTATTAAAATACATTTTGCTGGAAAAATGACATACATGCCAAAATATTATGGATTGCTTCATCATTTTCAACGTATTACTACTGGGACCAACACAAGTCATTTTTGCACCTTCAGTAATATCTTATTTATGTTATGATGCTACTTTTAAGCGATCAGACTTATCATTTTCATCTGGCAGAAGATCCAAAGCAGTGTGCAAAAAATCCCATAGATTCACATTCACACACCTGAACTACCCAGAATACCTTAATAACCACATAGCAACATGCTAACAACCACAAAAAAAAACCTTAGCAACACCCTAGCATTTTTTTCACTGGGACGAAGTGCAAATTTAGTTCTATTTGGAATTCTGTTTAATGCTGCTAATAGTGCATAATACCTTTAAATGAATGTAGCATCTTCCATTAAACTCTCTAGTTAACTGTCAGGGAGGTCACACCACAAATATGTATGGCCATGTAGAGACATGACAATTATACATTAAAATGATTCAATTGCATCCTTCACCTGTTTAAACTGCTTTTGCACGGCACCCTGAGGGAACAAGTTTTCTGTGTCTCTGCATTCCTTAAATCTTCCTTCTGTTTGTGGGCGAGTCATTCAGACGTAATTAAACCAATGCATGGTTATTAAACCCTATTTTCCTACTACTTGTAATAAATCAGGGAAATAGAGTTTGAGAATCATTTTGCATCTCTTTTAGCACTAAAATAGTGACTTGCATCTTTATTGCATTCTCAAACTGGTGTCAGCATGCATCAAGCGCAACTTTATCACAATGAACTCCCTGTTTAAATGTTCAAGTGATCGGTTTGGCTTCGGTTTGTGTTGTGGAAGCTTCTGCCAAAACAGCATTAGGGCAATCCAACACCATGCTACTCTGTTTCCGAACAATTAGACAGCTGCACTTTCTGGAGGTAGGAAAAAGGACCGACAAAAGATCAGCAATTCTCATAAACACACACACACACACACACACACTCAGACCATTTACTCAGACAAGAAACAAAAAGTCAACAAATGTTTGAAAAAAAGCAATAAAGTACCATCCAGTGCAAGCATAGAAGGAAAGTCCTTGCAGTTGGAGACTCCGGTTGAATCCGTAACGCACGTCTTCCAGAGATTGGACCAAAAGGTTGCCGTGGTGATGACTGTCCCGTCCACTGAGGACACTTTCCAGTAGTCAGTCGGGAGCGTGGAGGAGATCAGAATCCATCCGGATATGGTGAGAAGGAAGGCAACGATCTCTGTTGCCATATTGCCCATTTTCCCACGTTCTGTTAAAGTGAAATGCAAACAAAAGTCCCGTTTAAGGCAGGAATTAATAATTTGGTAAGGGGTGCTCAGTCTGGACTGAAATGTCTGTTGATGGGTCTCCCACCTCAAAGTTGCTTTATATTCAGCAGGGAGGGCTCTGGCTACTAATCTTTTCAACAGCTGACCAATAGCCTTTTGTTTTCACATTAACTACACCACACACACTCGCATACGCACCCACCCAAACATCACTCTGCAAGAATCATTTTGAGTGAGTCGGCAAAGATGCTGGAGGTCAGGAGGTGAGTACTTTAAAGATGGCTGTTATTGGAAGGGCCTGAAAAGCCAACGCCTCTAGCAGATATTGGTGAAAAATGTTCAGATAAAACTCTGATGTGAGAGATGTCATTTTGCATATAGGATTCCTTTGGACCAGTGTTATTTTTGGTATCGCTGGGATACTATGTTAGTTTTTATTCATATTTTGAATTTATTAATTTATATTTTTACATTTGTAATTTATTTTATATTTTATGTTTTCATTTTCATTTTAGTTGAAATATTTGTCTTTTTTTTGTGCATGTGTTTCTCATCAGTATTTATTTATTTATTTTTGCATATGGGATTCATTTGGACCAGTGTTACATTTTAGTATCGTATAGTATTGATCAATATTTTTTGTGTTTCTCAACAGTTTTTTTAGTTTGAGGGTTTATTTATTTAGTTCGTTTTTGATCAATATTTTGAATTACCTTTTATTTGTATATTTTAAGTTTAAGTTTAGTCAAATTTTTAGCTTTGTTGAGTGTGTGTGTGTGTGTGTTTGGCATTTTTATTAGTATTGATCAATATTTTTTGTGTTTCTCGACATTTGTTTTAGTTTGAGGGTTTATTTATTTATTTAGTTAGTTTTTGATCAATATTTTGAATTACCTTTTATTTTTATATTTTAATTTTAAGTTTAGTCAAATTTTTAGCTTTGTGTGTGTGTGTGTGTGTGTGTG